TACCATGGCTGGGCCCAAATATATTTTAAGGAAAAGAGTGGTCTATTGTATTTACCCAGATATTTACCTTTTTTGTTGTTCTCTCTTCATTCTCGATATCCCAAGTTTCTTATAATTTTTAAGATTGAAAGATCATTGAAGAATATTGTCTGAAAAATGCCATTGACCAGTTTTAGAGCAGATCTACTGACTTTGTGGTCTGAAAAGGAATCTCTAACCATTCAAATCATTGTTTCCCATACATTTTTTTTTTTTTTGAGAGATTTTCACTATAAGGCACGTGCGCTCACCAGACAGACATAGAGACAGAAAGCGAGAAATCACTCCCCAGCGGGGATGGTCACGCCACAATCCCTTCTCCTCCATTCTCCTCTCGGGATCTTGGGCACGCACGCACACGCGCCCGGTGTGAGTTTTAAGCCACCGGGTCTGGGACGCGAACCGCGGTCAACTACATGGGAGTCCAGCAACATAGCCATTACGCTAACTGCTGGTTCCCCCGGCGTGAGTTTTAAGCCACCGGGTTCGGGACGCGAACACGGTTGAGTACGTGGGAGTCCGGCAACATAGCCATTACACTAACTGCTGGTTCATTCCCATAAATTCTTTTTTTTTCCCCATAAATTCTTTATAGGCAATTTATCATTTTTCTCTGGTTGCTTTGAAGACTTTGTCCTTAGATTTTAGCAATTTAGTTATAATGTCTCTGGGTATGGATTTCTTTGGATTGATCCTACTTAGCATTTGTTCTTCTTTATTTTGTAGATCTGTATCTTCCCACCAAGTTAGAACGTGTTCAGCCATTTCTTTATTATTATTCTTATCCAGAAATGGTGGAACTCCCCTGAAATCCCAGGCTCCAGCCAATTTTGCAAGTAGGCCTTTCTAAAGGTAGCATTCTCAGGCCTACTATATTAACTCTTGTATACCTTTCCTCCCCCATCCTCCCTACCCCTGATTGCCTTTATCATATTACACTCATTTCCCTTCATCTTAACCTCTTCTAGTTACCAAACAATTCAGTTCTAAAGACATTGGGTTGGGAAGATGTTCCTCACTCAGGGGATTAGGTTGACCTAGAGTATGATTTCACAGCTTTTGCAGGTTAAAGAGGTATTCTTCATGTGGGCAATGGTCAGACTCAGGTGATTAAGGTTTTGAGGGGAGGCAGAAATCACAGCTGGAGAGCACATTGCTGAGGAAGGGCATGGCTGTGGTGGTGTGAGGTTGATTAAATAAAAATAAATAAATTAACATACTTGATAGGAACTATGTTTCTCATTGTTAGAAAAATGTACCTCAGGGAAAGTGATTACTTTTGCACATATTTGTATGATATTCTTTTACATGTAATTGGATTGTTGGAAAAGTCATGGTGCATTTTTGCAACAGATGGCACTACTTCATTTTTGGAAGTACTAGAGTCTTTTGCATCTATGTTATTGCTGTGTCATTGACAGCTGACAGTTCTAGGTTCATTAAAAAAAAATTGAGTGATTTGGTTGAGTTCTGGAGATTTTACAAGTTAAAGACGGAAGACGGTTTTACTTCGGTTAAGGGAAGAATGTGCATCAAGCTTGCAAAAAGTTGTGTAAGATTTATGGTGACAATGCTGTACAAGAATGTCAGTGCTTAGGACTAGCAGTTTGTTTAATGGCTATGTCACTGGACCTCCATGTAGTCAGCTGCAGTTTGAGTCCCTGACCTGGTGGTTTAAACTCACGCCAGGCGTGTGTGCGTATGTGCCCAAGATCCTGAGAGGAGAATGGAGAAGGGATTGTGGTGTGGCCATACCCCCTGGGGGGTGACTTCTCACTTTCTGTCTCTCTGTCTCTGTCTTTCTGGCGAGCACATGTGCCCTATAGCAAAAACCTCTCCAAGAAAAGAAAAAAAAAAGTACATTGTTTACAGCAATGTGGTTCGCAAACGGTCTTGGTCCTGACATGATGATTTGCCTCAAGTAACATGGAAAGCAGACATTCATCAGAGGAAGGTTAGGCTCTCAGTGTGTTGGGATTTAAAAGGTGTTGTGTATTTTGAGCTCCTACCAAAGAACCAAACAATTTAAATGTGCAGTGTCGGCAGTTGTACATTTTGAACAAATCTATCATCTGGAAACATCCAAAGCTTGTTGATTGTAAAGGAGTTGTGTCCCTTCACAACAATGCAAGACCACACACAAGTTTGATGACCTATCCAAAATTATTGGAGCTTGGATGGGATGTGTTACCATACCCACCATATTCACCGGACCTTGCACGACTTTCACTTGTTTCTTTGTTTTCAAAACTCCTTGCACGGTATAACATTCAATTGAGATGAAGCTATAAATCAGCACCTTGTTCAGTTTCTCACCAGATCCTTCTACGAGCAAGGAATTATGAAGCCCTCTGAAAGATGGCAAAAGGTTATTGAACAAAACTAGCAAAATATCATTCATTGATCTTTGTTCTTTATAAAAGTGACGTTTGAAAAACATAAATACATCATGACTTTTCCAACAACCCAATACAAAAATGCATATTATTGTTGTTCTACTCTGAAAAATAATCAAATAGAAAATATTTGAAGAACAACTTACAATTTTAATGGGAAAAACTATTTTTTGATGAAATACTAAAGCTCAGAAGTGGCGAGGACCAGCAGTTAGCATAATGGCTATGTCACTGGACTCCCACGTAGTTGACCGCGGTTCGCCTCCCAGACCTGGTGGCTTAAACTCACACTGGGCACATGTGCGTGTGTGCCCAAGATCCCGAGAGGAGAATGGAGGAGAAGGGATTGCAGCGTGGCCATCCCCCCCAGGGGGTGATTTCTCGCTTTCTGTCTCTCTGTCTGTCTGGCCTGGCGAGCGCATGCACCCTATAGCAAAAGCCTCTCAAAAAAAAAAAGTGACAGAACAGCATAGTGGTCTGGAGAAGGAATTTTGAAGTTCAAATGCACCTCAGCCAATTACTACCTCTGTAACCTGGGCAAATGCAAGGACTTATGTCTTAATTTTATGATCAGGAAATATATTTAATAATATAACCACCACCTAAGAGTATCTCATTATACTTATTATTGCCTCCTGTTACATTGTCACCGACTAGTAGGCTCTTAATACTAGCTATTATTTTTCTTTTGTTTTATTTTTTAATTTGCTATAGGGTAGAGAGAAGGGCAAAGTGAGAAAGCACTCCCCATGGGGGATGATCACGGTATAACCCCTTCTCCTTCATTTCTCTTTTTGGAATTTTGGGCACACAGGCACGTGTACCCAGTGTGTTTTTTCAAGCTGTTTAGTCTGGGATTCTAACCACACAATTGGCTATGTGTGATCCTGCTGCCTTAACCACCATGCCACTGGCTGGCCCACCCAGCTGTTATTGATCAAGATCAAAAAATTCCTACTTGTGGGAACCAGCAGTTAGCCTAATGGCTATGTCGCTAGACTCCCACGTAGTTGACCACGGTTCGTGTCCCGGACCCGGTGGCTTAAAACTCATGCCGGGCGCGTGTGTATGCATGCCCAAGATCCCGAGAGGAGAATGGAGGAGAAGGGATTGCGGCGTGACCATCCCCCCTGGGGGGTGATTTCTCGCTTTCTGTCTCTATGTCTCTCTCTGTCTGTCTGGCGAGCGCACGCGCCCTACAGTGAAAATCTATCTCAAAATAAAAAAAAAATTCCTACTTGTTAGACTGGATATTTGAACCTAAACTATCTTTCAGAAGACAAAGCTGTGTTCCAGAAAATATTTGACTTAAATATTTTCAAATCAAAGACTTGATGTTGCTAAGATGATTTCTTAAAAGAATTATTTATTTAATTGTCTTTCTTTATTATTATTATTGTTTGACCAGAGAGAAAGAGAGTGAGAGTAAGAAAATGAGCCACCAGGTCCAAGACTCGAACCATGATCGACCATGTGGGAGTCCAGTGCCCAACCACCCTACTTGCCAGTCCCTGATTTCTGAAATATGTATAATTATTTTTAAAGCTACTGTAAGTGTGTGAAAGTATCAGTATGTACCTTGTCTAGTACTGTACATTATCATATAAAAAAACTATAATAATTTAATGGGCCAAAAAATTAGCATTATTTTGATCAATAATGAATTTAGAAGTAATTCTGGTCAGATTAACTTAAATGCTAATAATATCCAACAGATTAAGATACATTCTACTAGTTAATGTTCACTTGTCACTCACAATGTGCTAGGCATTATAATGAGTACTTTTTATGTACTAGTCATTTAATCTTAATAATACCTTACAAAGATAATGATGATTTACAGCTACAGAATATCAGAAATTTTATTTGCCTTAGTTTGTAAGAGTACTTGTTAATCATGTGTATTGATAAATATTTAATCAACTGTACTTAAATATTATTAGTGGTTGAATTGAACATACTAATTTTGTATTTCCACCTAAGTATAAGAAAACACTTGAGGGAATTTTTTTAAAGTCTTGTAATTTAAGCTTTTGTACACTAGATGTCTCAGTTAGGTTTAAGTTATCAGAATGTAACTTTCTATTCATGAAAAATTGCTTTCAGTCTCTAATTATATTTTTTAAGTTAATACAATGAACTCTAAATAAAGTTGAAGATAATGCTTCAGTTAAAAATTTTTGCTGTGGGGCCGGCAGGTGGAGTGGTGATTAAGGTGCTGGACTTCCACATGGATGACCATTGTTGGAGTCATAGACCTAGTGGCTTGCTTTCTCACTTTATCTTTCTCCCTCTTTCTGTCTCTCTTCTGTCAAATTAAATAACAATAATAAATGAAATAATTATTTTTAAAAGAAATTTTAAAAGCTGTTGGTTGTAATTGTTAGTACTATTGATATTTAAAATGTTTACAAAATCTTTAAGATTTAAGCATTATCTGTGATTTTTGTACTGTATGTAATCTTGGTGAAAAGAAATTTGTTTATGTTAAATTTCTTTCTTACTGTTAAGTTTTATCTTTCTTTTTCTGCACTTGTTAATTTTTATGTTTTTATTTTTTTAAAGGATTTTAGCACTGGAGTTAAACAAAGACAGAGATGTTGAAAGGATCCACAGCTGTGGAGTTAACACCCTTGACATTGAACCCGTTGAAGGGAGATAGTAAGTTTATTATACCTACTAATCATTTTTCTAAATAAGATGCAGTAAAACCTTACTTTATAGATTATGTGGAAATTTCATAAAAAATAGTAAAAATTCTATATTATAGCATTTTAAATCTGGTATTATTAATTTCAAATATATATAGAACATGAAACTTACAAAATATTGCCAGATAAACATTTACAAATTATTAATAACTTAATATAATTATATTTATTGTTGAATCAATAAAACACTGAACTTTTTTTAGATGCAGAGGGCTTGTAAGTGCTGGGGTATATCTTAAGGTGCCATTATTTTAATTTTATTTTTTCTTACAGATGGCATATACACTTGTAGAATAGAGACAGAGGGAAGGAGGGAGAAAGAGTGATAAAGCACTCCTTATGGTGCATGGTATGATACAATCCCTTCTCCTTCATTCTTCCTCCTGTCTGGATTTTCTGTACACATGCACATGAGCCTGGTATGTTTCTCAAGATGCTGGGTCCGGTACTCAAACCAGATGGTTGACTATGTAGGATCTAGCCACTTTAACTACCATGCCACAAACTCGCCCTTAGGTGCTATTTTAAAACATATTTGCTACTTTGACGGAGGCTTAAGGAATCTAATGAAAAAATAAAAATCAAAATTAAAAATATGTTTTGAAGAATTAAATTTAAAGCAGATCATAATTATATTTGAGTTCTTCCTCAGCATAATACCTGATATATATCATAAAGCTTTGAGACTTTAAGCAATCTACCTAACTTTTCTAATTCTCCATTACCTTTGCTATACAGTGGGAACAATAATACCTACTTAACAAGTTTGTTGTGAGAATTAATTGAGATAATATGCATAATATTTTAGCATTTTAGCATAATACCTGATATCATAAATTATTGCTGTCACTATTGCTGCTACTAATCAAAAAGCATTATCACATATACTTCAATTTATTCTCTACACAGTGGCCCAAGTACTTTGCAAATCTGGACATAGCATTTCCTTTATTACAACTCACTATTACTCTTAAAAGAAGGTTCAAAACCTTTCATATGGGGACCAGCAGTTAGTATAATGGCTATGTCGCTGGACTCCCACATAGTTGACCGCAGTTTGCATCCCGGACCTGTTGACTTAAAAACTGATGCCGGGTGCGTGTGCGTGAGTGCCCAAGATCCTGAGAGGAGAACAGAGGAGAAGGGATTGCCGCGTGGCCATCCCCCCCTGGGGGGTGATTTCTCACTTTCTGTTTCTCTATCTGTCTCTTATTTGTCTGGCCAGTGCACGAGCCCTATAGTAAAAACCTCTAAAAAAACAAAACAAAAAAAACTTTCATATGTTCTATAATTAGATCATGCGTAAAAGAAATTAACAAAGGTCAGCTGGTGGTAGTGGTTAAGGCAGATGAATCCCACATGGCTGACTGCATGGTTTGGAGTCCCAAACCCAGTGGTCTGAAAAATACACTGGGCACATGTAAGTACATACTCAAAAATCCCAAAAAGAAAGGCAGAGAAGGGATTGCTGCATGACCATTCCCCATAGGGGATGCTTTATCACTTTCTCTCTGCCTTTCCTACAAGCTCAAATGCCACCCCCGCAGCAAACTTTATGTTTAGCATTTGCCTGAGAATTTTAATTTTATGATGAAATTATTATTATTAATTGCATTAATATAATTCAAAATTAGGGGGCCAGAAAGTAGTGTAGAGATTATTTGAACATTCCTAGTACAAAATAATGTTAAATGTTAGAGAGTGTGGATATGCTAATTACCCTGAAATTGTTCGCACATTATATTCACATACTGAAAAAAATCACTGTACCTAGTGTATAATTATTATGTCAGTTAGAATTTTTTTAAAAATTAGAAAAGATAATAGTCGTTTTACATTAATGATGTAGTTACGTGGTAAACAAACAAAAGATTATATTTCACAAAGTTGAACTATGAAGCAGAAATGTTTTTGGAATTAGTTGTGGTACATGTATAACTCACAATTGTATTCCAAATATTTTATCAATCAAAATTAAAGTTGCCATTGTTAAAATTTACAGGTGTTCTTTATATACAATTAGAGTAACTGAACTACCAAATTTTTTTTTTTGGAGAGGTTTTCGCTATAGGGCGCGTGCGCTAGCCAGACAGACAGACAGAGAGAGACATAGAGACAGAAAGCGAGAAATCACCCCCCCAGAGGGGATGGTCACGCCGCAATCCCTTCTCCTCCATTCTCCTCTCAGGATCTTGGGCATGCACGCACACGCGCCCGGCGTGAGTTTTAACCCGCCCAGTTCGGGACGCGAACCATGGTCAACTACCTGGGAGTCCAGCGACATAGCCATTACGCTAACTGCTGGTTCCCAACTACCAAATTTTTGTGATAAGGTTAATGTTGAATTTTTTTAATTGGTAGAAAGTGCAGTTACTCACCAGAGACAAGCAAAGAAACAGAAAGGGAGAAAGCACTCCCCAATGGGGCATGGTCACACTGCAATTATTTTTCCTCCATTTCTCCATCTTGGTAGGTTTTAGGGTACCCATGCACTCACATCCAGTGTGTTTTTCAAGACACTAGGCCAAGGTTCAAACCATAATAGGCCATATGAGATCTCGCTCCCTTAACCATTAGGCTATATGGCCAGCCTAAATATTTTTTAAAAACCTCAGCATGGCATTATTTACTGTCTTTCTTTGTTGCCCATTATCAACCAGATTTTAGAATTGTTTGAGCCTTTGAAAGACTACTTTTAGATTAACTTTACCGGTCTACAAATTGATACGGAATTTTTCTCAAAACGAGTCTAAATCAGTACATGCTGCTAGTTCATGAACTATTTGGGACTGGTTCACAAGATAAAGAGCTTGTACAGAATGTAAATCTATTATATCACTAAGCACACAATTTGAAGAAGCTAAGAGGGCCACCCCATGGCCCAGTGGTTAAGGCAACTGGATCACACATGACTGACTGCATGTTTCGAGTCCCAGACCTGGCAGCTTGAGAAACACTCCAGGCACATGTGCATGTGTGCCCAAAATCCTGAAAGGAGGGAGAGATGGAGAAGAGGTTGTAGCATGATCATGCCCCAGAGGTGCTTTCTTACTTTTCTTCTCTGTCTCTGTCTCTCTCTGGCAAGCACATGTATTCCCAGGTTAAAAAAAGAAAATTTATAGAGAGATATTTTGCTATAGGGTGTGTGTCCTCAGTGGAGAGACAGAGAAGGACAGAGAGACAGAGAGAAAGCACCCTCTGGGGGGGATGGCCATGCCACAGTCCTTTCTCCTTCATTCTCTTTTGGATTTTTTGAGCACATGAACACACATGCACCTGATTAAGTTTTAAAATGCTGGGTCCAGGACTCAAACTACAGTCAACTGTGTGGGAGTCCAGCAATGTAACCATTATGCCATCTGCTGGTCCCCCACTGCAAAATTTTCAAAATAAAAAAAAATTGGTAATATCTTACTTACTTTCTTTATTTATTTATTTTGCTAGAGGGCATACACACTCACCAAAAGATTTGGGGAGGGAAGGAATCTCTCAATGCAGTCCTCCATTTCTGCATCCTGTTGGGATTTTGGGCATGCAGGCAATGTACCCAGCATGCTTTTCAAACCTCTGAGGCTGGAATTGGAGCCATGTAGTCAGCCATGTGGGATCTGGCTCTCTTAACCGCCAGCCATGGGGCTGGCATATATTTTACTTTATTTATTTATTTTTTCCCTTTGGAGAGGTTTTTGCTATCTGGTGTATGCCCTCACCAGAAAGACAGAGAGAGACAGAAATCAAAAAATCACCACCCAGGAGGGATGGCCACGCTACAGTCCCTTCTCATCCATTCTCCTCTCAGGATCTTGGGCATGCACGCACACACACCTGGCATGAATTTAAGCCCCTGGGTCTGGTACTCGAACCACGGTCGACTACATGGGAGTTCAGCCACATAGTCATTACGCCAACCGCTGGTTCCATATATTTTACTTTTTTAAGTAAGAAATATTCTCTTCCCATCTTTTTTCTACCATCCTTTCTTTTTGGAATCATGAAGGTAAACTTTAAATGATCACAGATTGAATTTTTACTTTCATTCTTCTACAAATATTGTTAAGAGGTTTTAGTTCTTGAATTCTGTGTTAATGAAGATGATCTTTTTATGTATTGTCTTAATACTTATGGGTATTTACTAGTCAATTTGAGAAATTTGCTATCATTATAAACAAATGGACTATATAAAATGATAAATTAATGTGAACTTTTTATTATCAGCATGTTATCAGGTGGCTCAGATGGTGTCATTGTGCTTTATGACCTTGAGAACTCCAGTAGACAACCTTTCTACACATGTAAAGCAGTGTGTTCTGTTGGCAGGTGTGTATTAAAAATGTATTTAATGAATTTATAAACAGATCAATATTTTTTGCATAAAATGCAAAATGTGAAAATAGTCATATGAATGGTTCACACAAATTGTTCAAATGACATATTTACATGATTATCACTTGATATATCATAAACATAATTGAAATTTGGGTACAGATTTTTTTTAAAGCATTATTTATTTAATTTCATTTGTTGTTATTATTTCTTAATTTGACCAGACAGAAACAGAGAGAGGAGGAAAGGGAAAGCGAGAAAGCAAGCTGCCAGGTCTGGCACTCAAATTATGGTCAGCCATGTGGGAATCCAGTAACTAATTACAATTTTTAGTATTAATTAGTATAAGATTTACTTATGAGTCTTTCAGCTAATTATAAAAAAGAAATATTTTTCAACTGATAATAATTGGGAATAAAGATTGAGCTAGATATACTAAATGTACTATCATTTCCAACACACTCACACACATGTAACTCTTATCTCTACTTACTCAAAGATTGCTAACTTCAAAGTGTACCTCAGTTTGTCTTGGTTTCTCTGACTATTCTTTATCAGCTTACCAGCCTTGTGAGAAATGGACATTTTCTCAGTTTCTCTCTCTCTCCGATAAGCACTGGTGCTCTATAGCAAAAAGGAAACACAAGTGAATAAAAAGCATTTGGAAACTCTAAAACCATGGTTAAATGGGAAGCAATATAGTTATAGGAAAAATTAGCACAAAACAAGGTATCTCTTCAAATACTCTGAAACTTGCTTTTTAAGAAGTTTAGATAATTTTTACTCTCCCCACATTCATCAAAAAAAAACCCCTAAATTCTAATATGTTAGACAATTAATTTGATTCATTTTTTAATCTTACCCTAGCTAACATTTTTGTTAATAGCTATTATTTATTTATTTATAGTTTTGCTATAGAGAGTGTGCACTTGCTGGGAGTAGGTGGGAAGTGAGAAATCACCCCTACACCCCAGGGAGGATGGCCATACTGCAATCCCTTATCTTCCATTTTCCTCTCAGGATTAGAGCACATACACACAACTGGTATGTTTTTTCAAGCCTCCAAGTCCAGGAGTTGAACTGCACAGTTGGCCATGTGGGACCCAGCTGCCTTAACCACTACAGCACTGACTAGCCCTTCCTAACTAACATTCTAAATAAAGCTTAATTTGTTATATACCAAAATAATATTTTCATATATCCCATATGCCCTATAATGTTATTTCATGAAGAATTATAATCTACCTTGTTCATGTGTAAGGTTAGTTAATGCTTAGTGTGTCATTCTGTACTATCACTTTATTCTTAGATTCATACTGTCTTTAAAAGTATGACTCTAGGGACCAGCAGATGGTGTAATGGATATGTTACTGGACTTCCATGTAATCGACCACAGTTTGAGTCCTGGACCCGCCAACTTAAAACTCATGCTGGTTGTATATGTATGCATGCCCAAAATCCCCAAAGGAGAATGTAGAAGGGATTGCTGCGGAGTGGCCATCTCCCCAGGGGGTGATTTCTCACTTTCTTTCTCTTGCTGACTCTATGACAAAAGTAAACAAACAAACAAACAAAACTCTCTTAAAAAAAAAAAACTATGACTCTTGAGACCAGCAGATGGTATGATGGTTACGTCATTGAAGTCCCATGTAGTTGATTGCAATTCGAGTCCCAGACTTGGTGGCTTAAAACTCAGGCCAGGCACGTATGTATGCATGCCCAAAACCCAGGAGGAGAGTGGAGAAGAAGGGACTGTGGCATGGCCATCCCCCCTGGGGCATGATTTCTCACTTTCTGTCTCTCTGTCTCTGTCTCTCTGATGAGCACTCACACTCTATAGCAAAAATCTCTCTTAAAAAAAAAAATAGCATGACTCTGGGGCTGACCCCCTGGCCTAGTTTTTAAGAGAGCAGCCCCTGTGGCTTGAAAACCATACTAGGCCAGGTGTGCATGCTTGTGCCAAATGACAGCAGAATGGAGAACTGGAGAATAAGGGATTGTGGTGTGACGACACTCCATTGGGAAAGTGCTTTCTCCCTCTCCCTCTCTCTCTCTGTCTCTCTCTCTAGCAAGCACATATGCACTCTGGGAATTTAAAAAAAAAAATAAATATATATATATATATATGGCTCTAGAGCTGGCCTCATTGCCTAGAGGTTAAATGGCAAAATCCCACATGGCCAAATGGTTCAAGTCCCAGCCCTGATGGCTTGAAAAATATGTTGGGCGTTTGTGCATTCATACTCCACATTCTGGCAGAGTAGAGTAATGGAGGAGAAGGGATTGTGGCTTTCCTGTTTATCTCCAGCAGCATATGTACCCTTAGGCAATAAGAAAAGGTATAACTCTGAATTTGAAAATGGGTATATATGAATTAAAATAGCATTTTTACATTTGAAAAGTTTATACTCTGGTATTTAAAAATAATTTCAATTAAGACTGTTCTTAAATTAATGTGGCTTAGATTATTTTCTGGTATTTGTTGTTGGTGTACTTAATGTATTTGGCTTTGAATACTAAAAAGATTCCTCTACTAAAATTCTTATTAAATGTGAATGAAAATAATAGACTACACATAAGAAACAAATATAATATTTCATTCTTTTTTAAAAGATAAAATTAAAATTTGTTTTTAAAACTAGTATCACTAGAAAAAATTTCTGTAGAAGTCAAAATTCTTAGGAGAATGTTCCCAAAACAAAGTTCTGACAGATAGTTGAGATGGGTATACTAATTACACTGAACTTAACATTATACATTGCATTTATGTACTGAACAATCCCATTGTACCTCCACAAATATATATAATTATTATATGTTAAGAATATTAAATTTTAAAAAGAATAATAAGATTTTTGAAAATAAAAGTTGATTCTGCTTATCTTAAATTTATTGGAAAGCTACTTAGAATCTCACATAACTGTCAAGAAGATGGGAAAAATCACTTAAAAATTGAGCAAAAATCAAGACAAGCTAGCATAGAACATAGTCAAGGTCATACCACTGGAACAATTTAGCTTTTCTGCTACATATCATCAACACAGATTCTTAACTACACAGATATGAATAATGGCTGACTTTCCCTGGGATCTGCATTACTAAGGATTAATGAGGCCCAGGACACATATTTTTGCTCTTGGGGCAAGGTAGAGAAAAAGAGAATGTCCAGAGTCGCTTGCTTTGTATAACAAGAGGCAAGGCCTTGCTTTTCAATAAAACAAAGGGGATTCCCTCGTAATTGGAGGAATACGAATGCTCAGCAGCCAATTAAAAGGGCATACATGTACTACAGCCCACTATTTAGCTGTCCAACACCAGTATAAACCTTTCATCTCATGTTACCCTTTTTCAAGAAAAGGTCCAACCGGGGACCAACAGTTAGCGTCATGGCTATGTTTCTGGACTCCCACGTAGTTGACCGCGGTTCGAGTCCCGGACCCGGTGGCTTAAAACTCACGCCGGGCACGTGTGCGTGCATGCCCAAGATCCCGAGAGGAGAATGGAGGAGAAGGGATTGCGGCGTGACCATCCCCCCTGGGGGTGATTTCTCACTTTCTCTCTCTCTGTCTCTCTCTGTCTGTCTGGCGAGCGCACGCGCCCTATAGCAAAAACCTCTCCAAAAAAAAAAAAAAGGTCCAACTGACTTAGGTCCAACTGATTTACTCTACATAAAACCAAACAGGTGATTATTTTTTTCCCCACAGGGTGTTGATCCTGTCTGTTTAATTTCCACAGCCAGGTCCAGTTCAAGAGTTCAAAGTAAGATTCATTTTTCCACCAATTTTACATGTTCCTATATCAATATTATGCAACCTGTGGTCTCAGTTATATAATTAACCTCTATGGAATAGTGGAGTTGAGAGAAAGGAAAGAAGGGAACTTACTATAGTGAAAATTTATAAATATCTACATGGCAGAGAAAGGAAGGAAATATGAGTAAACACTACAGTCCTTGTAGTTTTGCAGTTTTTTTCAAAGCTAGATCTGGTATTTAAAGACTTCTTCATATTCTCTTTCAGGTAGCACCACAATGTTCATTCAATACCTTCTCCTTAAGAATCAGAACCCATTATGTTCCTGTCTTCACAGAGTTGCAGAAGTTTTCTATTAACTTTCATTTTTTTCTTACGGGAAATTTCTGTATACAAAAATAGTTCTGGGGACCAGCAGTTAGCATAATGGCTATGTCACTGGACTCCCACGTAGTCGACCGCGGTTTGAGTCCCGGACCCGGTGGCTTAAACTCACACCAGGCGCGTGGTGTGTGCGTGCCCAAGATCCCGAGAGGAGAGTGGAGGAGAAGGGATTGTGGCATGGCCATCCCCTCTGGGGAGACTGATTTCTCGCTTTCTATCTCTCTGTCTCTCTCTGTCTGTCTGGCGAGCGCACGCACCCTATGGCAAATACCTCTCCAAAAAAAAGAAAAAAAAATAGTTGTGTAATGAACAGTATACCCGTCGCTCAACTTCAAAAACTATCAGTCTTAATCACCCTTGTTTCATCTCTACCCCACCACCCCCTCATCCACTCTCAGGATTACTTTGAAGCAAATCTCAGAGAACATATCATGCCAATCATAATTATTTGTTTATATCTCCAAAAGGTAGTTTTCTTTATTAAGCAAAACCACAGTGTCATTATCTTACATACACAGTAATTCCTGATATTTAATATTCAGAGTTCTGATTTCCCTCATTGTCTCATAAATATCTCTGCACAGCCAGTCTGTTTGAATTAAAGTTTACTAAGGTAACACATACACTGTTTAGATCACTGGTTCTGAATATATATTGCATCCTTCAGGAAAGCACACCAGTTTCACAAATAGCTGCTATCTTACCTGAGACTTCCACAGAACATGGTCCTAAAGGTAGTGGATTCTAAAAGACAAGAATCCAGTGAGCATCCACCAATTGCATTATTTTATTGAGTAAATTCCTTGATAAGAAGCAATATGGGTTATCATGGATGTATATGAGGCATTTGACAGTTATAAGAATGGTAGTGCTAATAGAATGATACTTGGGAAAAGCACATCCAAAGTCAAAATAAGTGTTTTTTTCCAGTAAGAACAAACCACTGCTATGTGATAGAAGAAGTACAGCCCAGCTGACTGATGCCTCCAGGCTATATATAATACAGAAATGGGAGTCTTTCACATTATGAACCTTAGTATGAGGAAGGCTTCTATATCACATTAAAGAAACTTGAATCTAAAGATACCTTGACGTTCTCTCCTAGACAGCTAGGGCATAGGCATGTGATTTAGATTTGGCCTTTTATATCATTTTACCTGAGACTGCTACCTATTCAATGTTTGTACCAGTTTTCAAACATGTAAGCTGGTAACATGGTGATTAAGGCAGCCGAATCCCATATGGCCAACTGCACGATTCGAGCCCTAGACGAGCAGCTTGAAAAACACCTGGCGTATGACCCAGAGTCCTGAAAGGAGGGATAAATTGAGAAGAGGGGATTGCAATGTGACCATCCCCTATGAGGCATGTTTTCTCGCTTTCTCTCTGTCTTTCTCTACACATGCCCTCTAGCAAATTTGTTTTAAAAAGGAAAGAAACATGTAAGTCAGTTTTCTGTACATTTCGATTATTTTATAGAAACCATCCTGATGTTCATAAATACAGTGTGGAGACTGTACAGTGGTATCCTCATGACACAGGCATGTTCACATCAAGTTCATTTGATAAAACTCTGAAAGTATGGGATACAAATACGTTACAAGTAAGTACATTAAATCCTTCCCAAATTGCTCTATAGGATGAAGAAGAATTTAATCCTAAATAATTTTGTTGTAATTATGTGCAAAGATGTCACATGTGTTGGATGTGAAAGCAGTGTAATAGTTGGGGCAAGCTAGACTGCATGTGTTTATATCTTGGTTCTGCTGCTGACTAGTATGATATTAGACAAAGAAATGTGCAGATCCCTCTGTCTAAGTTTCCTCATCTGTAAACAGTACCTTACTGAATGTTTGTGAGGATTGAATAAACCAATGTATGTAAAGTACCTAGAACAGTGTAGAGACTATAATAAATGCTCAGAAACTGTAAGCTATTACTAATTTTATTATTTAAAAAAACTACTATAGTCTAGTGGTCCAAGGAAAAACTTAAAGGAAAAGAAAGTTTTTGATATTGTGCTTTAGTAAAGGTACACAGTGGATAATGGTTTTTGTTTTAAAGGTTTTTGCCATAGTGCATGTGTGCTCATCAGAGAGAGACAGTGGGAGGGAAAGTGAGAAATCACTCCCCCACCCCACCCCCAATAGGGATGACCACACCACAGTCCCCTCTCTTCCATTTTCTTTCTGGGATTTAGGGCATGCACACTCATGCACCTGGCAAGATTTTCAAGTCACTGGGTCTGGAACTTGAACCATGTTTGGCCATGTGAGAGCACCATAACCACTATACCACCTGCTGTCCTTTGGATAGTAGTTTTTATGATATTTGGTCAAATTTAATTTTCTAGCACTAATATTTCCTAGAGCTCTACTCCCATATTTCTCTAAATGTCATCAGAACCTCTACTTAAATGTAATGATTTCCATTCAAACTTAACTTATTCCAAGCTGAACATGATAGCTCTCCTCACATCCATCTATTCTTAGCAATTTTTCCTTCAAACTCTCATAGTTAACTTTTGTTTCTCTTAATATCAAGTATATTAAGACTACAAAGAACTCCTCATTGTTTTCTCTGCCTTAACTTTCCTTCCCACATTTTCTATAGTAAGTTCTACCCCATAATTGAACTTATAAAGCAGTTTCATCCTGTCTCTACCCAAACCCTCTAGTGATTCCCATTGTCTGAACTCAGCCTGGTGCTCTAAGTTCTCCATAACTTCACCCCCTATTCATTCAACCCTAGTTTCTACATCTTTTCACAAAAATGATTGGTTGCAGTTAAATTGATCATTTTTTGAGTTGGCTGTATGGCCTGGTCTGGTCATTCAGGAAGCCAGATTCCACATGGCTGACTATACAGTTTGCGTTGCGGAGCCAGTAGTTTTAGGAAATACACTGGGGATGTGAGTGCCTGTCTGAAAATCCTGCCAGGTTGGAGAAATGAAGAGGGTATTTCATAACCATTTCCCATGAGAGTGCTCTCTCCATCTCCATCTCCCTCTTTCTACCTCTCTGTCTCTGGCAAGTATTTGAGACCTGTGGCAAACTTTAAAAAAGAAAAATCTCCTTTTATCTGCTGATCACATCTTGGTTATTTTGTATCTCTGACTTCAAGTTGCTTCCCCTGCACAACTTTGTCCCTTCTCTAAAGGCCATGTTTCTTTTTGTATTACATCGAACCAAGAATAAGGATGCCAGAGTTCTTGTCCCATTGTGCTATATATTAAATATATTGCTTTAAGTTAGTCATTTAATATATTTAACACAGTTCTCTTCAGTTATAAAGTGTTAGACTAGGTGATGTTTAAAGTCCCTTCCAGTTGTCACGTAATCGGTGATTTTGGCATCTGGCGTCTATATTAATCACCATTTTAAATTAATAACACTGTTATTGGCGTTTTCGTTTTACTATATTCTTTTATTGTTTTATAATGTTTTATTTTTTTAAAAATTTGACTAGATGACATAATGTGCTCACTGGAGAGAGACAGAAAGAGAAAGAAAGAAAGCACCCTCTAGGAGAATTACCACATCTCAATCCCTTCTCCATTGTCCTCTCAGGATTTGGGGCACAGATGCACATGCTCCTGGCATGCTTTTCAAATCATCATCTGGGACTTGAATTGCATAGTCTGCCATGTGAGATGCAGCTGCCTTAACTACCATGCCACGGGCCAGCCCCAATATATTTTATTTTATTTAAAAAATTTTTAAAATAATTATTATTTATTTTCTTTTACTTAATATTATTTTAATTTTTATAGGGTACATGCACTTGCCAAAGAGAGAGAAAGAGAAAGTGAGAAAGCAAACCACCAGGTCCAGGACTCAAATCACTATAGACTGTGTGGGAGTCCAGTGCCTTAACTACCATACCACCTGTTGGCCCCTATAATACCTATGTGTATTATCTGTTTTTTAGATTGTTTCTTCCTCAAGGCACGGACTCTGTTTATCCAGTGTTATGTATCATAACTTCTAAATAAATACATTAAGGATGACTAGTGATTTATGTAACCAACTACCTGTTACTGTCTAATAAATCATGAAATGTAGATATAATTCTAATAGGAAAAACAAATACTACTACATAAATAGACACAAATTTAGTCTATTTCTTTTTTAAAATTTCTATTTATTCATTTATTTATTTTAATGTGACCAGAGAGAGATACAGAAAGAGAAAGGGAAAGTGAGAAAGCAAGCTACCAGGTCCAGGACTTGAACCGTGGTCAACCATATCCAGCGTCTTAGCCACCACTCCATCTGCTAGTCCTAAATTTAGTCTATTTCTAATAACTCAAACTAAATAGATGTTTTCTTTTTCAGCTTAGCTATATTAAAAAAGATTAAGTCTATCATTTTGGAATTATTATAGTACAGAATATTTTAAATGCATATTATTAAAAATAAAAATATATTTTTAGTACTAAATATTGGGAACTTCCATTTCTGACTACAATGGAATATCTTATAGCCAAACCAACACCTCCACTGATAAAAATTAGAAAATCTATATAAAATATAATTATCTATTTGAGAATTTTAGAAAGTTTCCAAAGAATCTAAGACTTGAGAGACCAGATCCTAAAGAAAAGGAAAGCTCATAGAAGTGAATTCAACTTTCTATATGCTCTTTTCCTCTTTGGACATTTGCTATTTCCTTTTTTTCCTTTAATTTCTTATTTATATTTAAATGTTGTACATCTTTATGGTGTATAATATGGTTTTTTCAAACCATGCATGCAATGGGTGATAAATCAAGAATATTACCAAGCATAGTTTTCAACAAAGAACTTTACGTTCTTGTATCTTTTTAAAAATGCTTATCTACAAATGTAGATACCTCACTAGCCACCTCCTCTCTTAAAGTCTCTGGTATCTACACTTGTCCTCTGTAATAATTTTATCTTTTTTTTTTTTTTTTTCACCAAGGAAATGAAAGTTCTTTGGTATATGCTGTCCTTGACCCAAACCAGCATTGTTGAGAGTTTGTCTGAATATATTCCAAGTAATAGCATCAAAATACTTAAAAAAATACACACAGTGGCACACACATCTATACACTTATATACCTAAATGCGTATATATACATATATATGTATATATATATATATATATACACACACATACATATTTATATATTAGTTACATCACAAATGAATGTTCTATTTTCATAGTTATCACTTCAATAGTTATTTTATATGACTAAGTTCCAAAAATAAACCTGCATGCTTCTAATGAAACTCAGCAAGCTGACTTCTCTCTGCTATTCAGGCTGTAACCTGTGCCAACATGATAACTCCACTTCTGACCTGCTGGTTGTTAACCATGGATATCTGAGGTTTCCGGATGGGTTCCGTAACGTTGAGTCCTATGAAACTTGTGGTGTATGTCTTGGCCAAAGTGTACTTTTTGTAGCCTGAGATGATTCTGAGAAACACAAAGTTGCAGGAAGAGGAAGCCAGAAAGCCAGCAGATGATTGCTAAGGGTGATGGTAGGTGGAGACAGCCAGCCTCTCTTCTTGGGTTTCTGATATCATCTATGAAGGGACCTCCAAGTAAATGGAAAAAGGAATTAAAGTACAAGTTAATTTTGGTGCAAAAACATATTGAAATCCCTGCACAGTTTCTTCACAATATACATCTTTTGTGTACTTTTGCAAGAACCCCCCCCCCATCATATTCTT